CACATTATAACTTACAATTCGTCTGAATTTCTAAATTTTTTATGTTGACACATTGTCCAACATATTTAAATTTAGGAGTAGTAAAAGTTCAGGTGTTCTCCTCACCAAACCTTTTTTTATACAACACCTTATACTTTGGTTCAACAACTTATATAATAGGCATTATAGTTTATATAAAACTTTAAAAAAACTAAATATTATTCATATTCTTAATTCCATTGCATTATCTGCCCGCTTTCCTCTATTCTGGTTTTTCTATTAACTCACTTACTCTTGTTTCGTTGAAGGCTGTTATGATGCTCTTTGTAAGATTATATCACAAAAAATCATTTGTCAAACAATTTTCTACCTTAAAGGTATAACTTATCTATCTAAGGAAATTTCTACCATTTTTTAGAGTGTAATTAATACAACCATAGTAAATACACTATTTTTTTAGAACGCATTTGCTGTGGTTTATATAACACTTTGATGCGTTCTGTATCACGCATATGTACCTTTTACTACACAATAATTATGTTCATATAATACTTCAAATGTAAATATAAAATAATGTGTTTGAAAGGGTTTTAAAATTATATTCATTAGCACTGGTCTTGTTAATGAAAAATACTTAAAAAACAAAAAATTATAGATTGCAAGAGCTATAAGTAAATAAAAACTTTTTTAAAAAAAGTTACACTTTGTTTTCTTTTGTATATAGTTGTTTTTTTAAAAAAAAGTCATTAAAATCCTAGTATTGAAAGTAAAAACTTCTCTATAGGCTGTAGAGGTCGCTCAATTGATATCTTTTAAATAAATGTTTTCTAATATAAAACCCATTTAGTATATAGCGGCAAATAATCTTGATATCTGTATTTTATAGAAAAACCAGTTATTCAAGAAGCACACATTATTATATAATTTGTAACTAATTACTTACAATAACTTTTGCAATAATAAAGTCTTTTTGTATATATGCGCTTGTATAACTTGCTTATAATAATGTCACTTTAAATATAACTGCTTTGGTCTGAAAATGTTTTACCGAGCCGTTTTTAAAATATTTTAGACTGCAGTCTATTCATAGATGAATACATCTTGGTAAATATTTAAAATGTATTATTTTAACAATAATAAAATTTTAAAAAAGCCTTTAATTAAAAAAAAATAAATTAATTTATCATACTTAAAAAAAATCTTATCTTGCGACTATATTTTAATAAAATTATGCATGACCAATAGATTGTATATAATCTTTGGTAAATAATGCCACGACATAATATTTTGCAAAAATGAATGCAAATTAGATTAAGAGCCTTCGAAATGAAAATAATACTTGAAAAATAAATAATAATAAAAATAAATGAATGGCAAAAGATAAAATCTTTTTTTGATCTTAAATCTAATTTTAAACTTTTAAAGTTTTAAATTCATCGTTTGATTGACAATCACAGATAAATCATTGATAAATAACATTTAGCTTAAAATCAAAAATTAGTTAAGCTTAGACTTCTTATTTTTATTTTAATAAAAACGTTAAATATAAAATAAATGAGAATAAATGAGTTTGTTTAAATTATAAAAAAGAGCATATATATGAAAACGATCCAAAAAAGAGCTGTTTTATCTTTTAAAAATATTACAAAACAATTAAAATTATTATATTCAAAAGTTTAAAAGTTAGCTCCCTCTATTCTTTAGTTGTTAATAGATAGGTTTATATATATATATATATATATATATATATATATATATATATATATATATATATATATATATATATATATATATATATATATATATATATATATATATATATATATATATATATATATATATATATATATATATACCCGGTGCGGGGTACTGGCCGGTGCGGGGTAATATATATATCTATATATATATATATATATATATATATATATATATATATATATATATATATATATATATATATATATATATATATATATATATATATATATATATATGTTATTAACGTTCTCTGTTTTATGTATAAATGTAAAGTCAACTTATCACCTGTTTCATTTCTTAGTTTGTATTAGCAAGGAGATAAAAATAAAAATATTTATAAAATTGGAAATTTAATTTGACAGCCGTTTTCTCAAACTAATTATGAAAAAAAAAAATTTTTCTTAGAATTGTGAAATATTTTTGTTCTAAGAACTCATTTGATCGGACTGTTCAATCAAATTCAATCAAAATAATTTATAATAAAACAATCCGATCAAATAACTGCAGTAATTAGATATTTTTAAAGGAACAATATCAATTTCTCTGTCTCCACCACTAGCACTACGTTAGCTACTGCTCATGAGTTGTACCATTCAAGCTTATCACCCAAATCCTATGCCATTGAGCAAAATTAACAAAATCCCACAAAAATAATTTAACTTCTAGGCAAATAATCAGCGTTCCCTATATAAAGCCAAACGAGACAAGCTTAAGGCAAAAATTGAAAATGAGAAAATAAAGAAGAAACAGCATCTGCTCTTCTACACTAATACTTGGTGTAATAACTACCAACCCTACATAAAAAAACAAAAAAAGTTGTGGTAGCGGTGGGAAAAAATAATATATAAGACAATACCCCAGCAAATAAAACAAAAGTAACTTAACTTAACTCAAAAAATAACAAAAAAGTACGTAATGATATATAGTGACAACATAGGCAATGAATTAATTTTAATAGGCTGCATATACTAATCGCCAAGTAATTTAAATAAACAATTAGGTAAAGCAAAATTTGTCAACATTCGGCTGCTTAACTATCATAATTCACAGAGATTTGAACTTTAGACATAAAATATATAAAGCAATCAAGACTGTTAAAGGCGCAGCTAGGGTTGCGCAAATATGCAAAAAAAAAAAAAAAAAAAAAAAAAAAAAAAAAAAAAAAAAAGAGATTAAAGTGCAAATGTTTATGTGCAAATGTTTATGCAAATGTTTACTTTCCATTTCTACCCCAGAAATTAAGAAGAAAAACCGTCAAGCACACTGGACCTAAAAACCTGACCCAACTGATAATATACATAAAGATAACGCACTCGGCGTTACGCTGCGATATTTTTTTTAACACTGTTAAAAAAATATCGAATTTTTTACGGAAATTTCAGGGAGCAGATTTTCCAGAAAGTTTCCGTTATTTTACAGAAAAATCAAGTGTTGAAGGAAATTTCCGTATAAATTACGTAAAATATCCATAATTAATAAATGATATTTTACATAAGATATCCATCATTTTAGGCAGATATTTCCGTATTTAAACGGATATTTCCGTTAACAAGTGACTGATTTTTCTGTAAAATTCTGCAAAATCTGCTGCCGGAAATTTCCGTAGAAAAACGCAAGATTTATTTTACAAAAAATTTTTACTCTAAAAATGTATTCCTTATACGATAAAAAAAAATTTACAAGAAAAAAATTAACAACATAAATATATTCAAATATATATATATATATATATATATATATATATATATATATATATATATATATATATATATATATTAGAGCAAATAACTGTTATCTTTCTTTCTTTTTGCGTCTTTTCTCGCATTCTCTTGAATATAGTCATACATAAACCTTAAACACAAAATAAATTACATAATCATGACATAGATTATAAATTGAAATCTGTGGAACTAAGAAAGATAAGCATATATTGTGAGCCATATTTCACATTTTGCATAAGCTTATTCTTACTTTTTATATTATTTTAAGCTTACATATTATTGCATAAGCATTTTTCAAATTTTTTATATACTTATAATATTAACTTCGACTGCTTAGAAAAATATATTTTTATCTTTGAATCAACATCGGTGGTCTATTAATACTATGATCGTATCTTAAGTTCTTGATATAATGGACCATAAATAAATTTATGAAATGGTAGACCACGAGCAAAAATATCAGTTCTAAAATAACAATAAAAATATTATTAATATAATATAATAAAAGTTAATTTAAAAAAATTAAACAAACTTTTTTACTTTTTATTAAAATATAAATATTATTATTACATTTTTATATATATATATATAAAAAAACATTTACTTAGAATATTTTTTCTCTACATTGTATTCACATTCAATACAATGCTTTTTCAGTACTTCCAGATTCCATATTTATACTTTATGCTTTGTGGATTTGAACTTTTTAAACCTTCCATATTATAGCCAACCATATACCTAACAACACAAATATAAATACTTTAATATTGGTCATGAATACAAATCAAAATATGAACACAGCAAAATCGTAAATCTTCGTTCGTAGTTTAAGACACTCAATTCTTAAAACAAGAAATACATTGTTTGTTTTAAGAAATAAATTTCCTATCCCCCAATTTGTTTCTTAAAAAAATATATATATTTCTTAAACTATAAACATTAGTTTTACAATATTGCTGTAAATCTTAAAAAAAGAAAAAAATTTCATGTATTGTAATTTATTACTTAAAACAAGAAATATATTTCCTGTTTTAAGAAACAAATTCGGGGATAGGAAATTTATTTCTTCAAACAAGATAAATATTTCTTGTTTTAAGAACTAAATGTCTTGAACTATGGACAAAAATTTAGGATTTTGCTGTGATGAAATGCTACATGTAATTTTTTTCATCAATTAAGGATTTATTTTTCAAGGTTTATTAGTTAAATCTTATAGATTATTTTGCATCAAGTAGAAACAGTTTTAAAATATCTTTTTTTTTTTTTATTTTTTTTCACATTACTTTGTCAGAACTTCAATCACAAAAACAAAATTTTTTCCAAAAAGAAAATATAAATTTTTATGTCTTTAGACATTCTAGGCATCTCTTTTTCTTTACCTATGAATGTATCTACATACAAAGTATGTAGTGACTTCTACATCAGTACAACTTACTTATTTCAAATTAACTCAAATTGATTCCATAGGTGATCATATATCCTGCAATTGAAGTGCTTGCAGATGGTTTCAAAAAAAGTTAGTGTGATCCCACATAGCTATCAGATCTTGAAAACATTCTTTTATTTTACATCGCAGATTTAAAAATATTTTAAGATATTGTTGAAAACATTTTATATTTTTAACTTTTTGCTTAAATATATGTTTAACTATAAATACTAATATATAAATAACTAACAACATATAGATAATTGTGCAAATTTATTAAATTTTTCTGATAAAATATCTAAAACACTAAAATATTAAATAAAATAAAAAAAATAAAATGCAAATTTGAGATAACAAGTAATTCCCAAATTTTATTTATATAAAAAAAAAAAATTTATACACACATATACATAATATATCTGTGTGTGTATAAACTATGTTTATTTATATAAATATATATGTATATATACATATATTATATGTATATATACATATATTATATGTATATATACATATATTATATTTATTATATACATATATTATATGAATATATACATATATTATATGTATATATACATATAATATATGCATATATGCATATATTATATTTGTATACATATATACATATATATATACATATATGTATATATATATTTTAGCTTACCATACGTATATATATATAAATATATATAAATATATATATATATATATATATATATATATTATATATATATATATATATATATATATATATATATATATATATATATATATATAAACATATTTATATATATATATATATATACATATAAATATATGTATATATATATATATATATATATATATATATATACATATATAAATATATAAATTTATATATATATGTATATACATATATATATATATATATATATATATATATATATATATATATATATATATATATATATATATATATATAATATATATATATATATATATATATATGTATATACATATATATATATAAGTTTATATATTTATATATGTATATATATATATATATATACATATATATATATATATATATCATATATGTATATATATATATATATATATATATATATACATATATATATATATATATATATATATATATATATATATATATATATATATATATATATATATATATATATATATATATATATATAATATATATATATATATATATATATATATATATATATATATATTAGTGATGTGCCGGGTACCCGGTTCGGACCCGGGGACCTGGCAATTCGGCTGTTTTACCGGGTATCGGCCATTTTGTTGCAGTACCCCGCACCGGGTATCTTCAAATTGATTTTTCCTTTAGTTTAAACTTTAACCAATAAACTTCTTGATATACGTCTAAGAGTGTTATGTAGTCGATAACCACAAAGTTCTATTAGCTTAAAACAATCTCACTTAAAATATTTTTTAATACATTTTTGCAAAAAAATTTATACTGATGCAAAAACTGTAACGCTAAATGAAATAATTCGAGAATAAGAATAAAAATAATGGGAAAAATAGTTTTAGAATAGCTTCTTTTTATTTGTTAGAACACAAGGTAATTTTTAGCAATTTAGTTTTAAATGAAACGCTTATAATGCTTTCGAACGCTAATAACTTTTCATTTGTATCAAGCAAAAATCATAAAAGTTTCATTAGCTTTATAAAAATTTTATTTGAAAGAAAAATTATGGCAAAAAAAAGTATAGCGTGGAAGTTCTTTGATATAAGCACGACTCCTCATATGAGTAAGTGCAAACTATGTGATAGTTTAGTTACGAGAGGAGGAAAATCTTTCAAGTCTTATGGAACTGCAGCAATGGTAAAACATTTGCGATTAAAGCATTCCGAAGAGTTTGAACTTGGGGAAGAAAAAAAAAAGGTTCAATTATTGCCGTCTATTTCTGAAGCCTCAGTTGCTTCTACCACCAATACAGTACAAAGTAACATTATTCAGGCTTTACACAAAAAAAGTAACAGTGGAATATTGATCTATTCAAAGATCTATTCGAATTCATAAAATAATAGAAAAACTTATCACATTGAATATTCAGCCATTTCTATTGTTGGATAAACTGCTGTTCTTCGAGTTATTAAATTTCCGGGAAAGCACACAGGTGTTCATATAAAAGAGTGCTTACAAAAAGGTTTAGAAACTTTTGAAATCCCGTTAAGCAAAATTCATTTTATTGTTACCGATAATGCAAGCAATATGAAAGCTGCAGTAAAAAACAGTGGAATGTCATCAATTCCATGTTTTATCCATACTTTACAGCTATGTATTCATAACTCTATATTTAGCCAAGAAACCATCAAGGAAATTTTAACTTTATACAGAGTAATAACGACACATTTTAATCATTCGATAATAGCAAATGTTAAATTAAAATCAATTCAGCAGCAGTTAAGTACTGTACTTCACAAAATGAAACAAGATGTTCCAACTCGCTGGAACAGTTCATTTGAAATGCTACAAAGAACGTTTGAACAAAAAGTTCTTTTGGCCATCTATGCAGCAGAATATGATGAAATTAAATTTCCTACTAATTATACCATCTGTTCTTGCATTAAAAGTTTTATTACAAAAAGTTTCATAAAGTGATATATATGTTACTAAAAGACTTGATAAATTTTTGCTTAATAAAATGTTATGTGTATCAACATTTTTGGATCCACGATATAAATTACTTTATCAACATGCAGATGAAAATGTTATTAAGGAGTGGCTTGAAGAAGCATGGAAAGAAATGCAAGGAGCGCAAGATGTTGTTGACTCTGACTCCGACGATGCTCCAATAGTAAACGCTCCAGCATCTAATGGGTTCATTAGCATTGATGATTGTTTTAAAGATGTAGCTTCTATGAGAACTGGAAGAAAGCAGAGTAAAAGACGTTCCGAGGCAGAAAGAGAATTAGTAGATATTGAAGTTGTTACCACTGACATAATTAAGAAGCAAACAATATTAAGGTCTGCAATTACTCAAGAAATAGACAACTATTTATCTCTGCCTCTTTGAGAAAATAAAGGTTGTCCGTTTTTATGGTGGAGTAAATGTGGAATGCAATTTAAAAAACTAAAAAAGATGCCATTAAAATATCTTGCAGCACCTCCGTCATCAATAGAAAGTGAAAGGTTATTTAGTATAATTTAAATAAATATTACTTAGGCCCGCTCTACCAGGAAAAAAAAATAATTTTAAACTAAATTTAGTTATTCAAAAATTGTTGTACAACTTTTGAAAAAAGTTAGGCCCTACAACTCAGGCCCCTTACCCTGCATTGCGGGGTTTTGCTAAATGGTACTTCCGCAACATAACTTTTGGTTAGCGTAAAAAGCGTATTTTGTGTGAATAGTTCAGCGCTAGAGATTTCACAAGTTTTTATTTCAACTTTTTAAAAATGGACTCGGTGCCGAGTACCCAAACTCGGACCCAGTTTTTTCAGCCGGGTACCCGGAATCGGAGGCTCGGCATAAACTGGTTCCGGTGTAGCTACACCGGAACCAGTTTATGGTTTGGCATAAACTGGTTGGTATATATATATATATATATATATATATATATATATATATATATATATATATATATATATATATATATATATACATATATATATATATATATATATATATATATATATATATATATATATATATATATATATATTTTAATTTAATATGAGAATATATATATGAAAAATTTAATATGAGATTTTTACTGGGGAGTAAAAAAATCGCGGGAGTAATAATCTCATACTACATGTAGTAAAAATCTCATATTAAATTTTTACTCCCCAGTAAAAATCTTATATTAAATTTTTACTCCCTTTATGAGATTTTTACTCCCATAAAAATATTATGCGGCAAAACGTATTTTTGTAACAAAATCACGTTGTATTTTGAGAATAGTTTTCAACGTTTTAATTACTGCGGTTTCTTGAAAAGCAATAAGAAACGAATTTTTTTATGCAGTGGCTTTCATAATTCTAAAAATTTAACTATGCATACTGAATTTGCCGACGTTTATAATTTTTTAAAAAGATGCATATATCCAAAGACAGCTATTAGTAAAGGCGATAAGTCGAACTTTCGAAGAAAAACAAAACCATTTGTAATTGAAGATAATGAGCTGTATCATCTGGGTAAATCTGGCGTTAAGGTAAACAGTTTATATAGTTAGAGTTTTTTTATACTAGCGTGGTTTGCGATAAATACATACATTTTTATGTATGTGTTTAAGTATCACGTTTTACATAATAACGTAATACATAATAATATCATGTTTTAATAATGTATCATGTAATAATAATACGTAATATATTATAATATCATGTTTTACATAATTAAATAATAAAAAGCTTGTACTTTACTAGTATAATACTGCCGTGATAAGGAAAAACACAGTAATTGTAAAAATATCCACTTTGCACTCTTTTAATAAATATATATATATTTTATAACAGCATCTTTAATTTTTTTTTAAAGAAAAGTTATTTGGTGCAAAGAAGAGCAACACCATATAATTAAGTCTGTTCATGATGATAATGATATTTCTAATGAGGCTAACCATTATCTGGCCACATAGGCATCAATTCAACAACAGAGCATATTAAAAAGAGATTTTTTTGGTTTGGTATGATAAAAGACATTACAGCCTATGTTTCAGAATGTGATAATTGTCAAAAAGCAAAAAACAAGAAACTTCAAGTTAAACCATTGTTACAAAGCATATCGATTCCAAAAGGTAACATGAAACAGGTTGGGATTGATTTGACTCAACTCCCAGAAGTAAATGGATATAAATATCTGATAGTACTAGTTGATTATTTCAGCAAATGGGTAGAACCTGAACCTCTTTTTGATAAAACAGCAAAATCTGTTGCAATATTCCTGTATAAACAAATATGTAGACACGGGTGTTTTGAAATACAGATTAACGATCAAGGCCGTGAATTTGTAAATGAGCTTTCAAATGAACTTCACAGAAAAACTGGGACTCGCCAACGCATGACGAGTGCATACCATCCACAAGCAAACGGTTTAGTAGAACGTCAAAATCAGTCAATAAAACGAACATTGGTA